AGTGATCAGTGTTTGATGCCTCATAGGGCAGTCCTGGGGATGGCACAACATTTACAGACAGGCTGGAAAGCTGGAGACAGCTCAGAAAAGAACCATGGTGGGTCTGTGGTTTAAGGATATAAGAAAGTCTTGAAGAAAGTAATGAGCAATGAGCTAAACTATCTAAAACAGGAAGACTGAATGGTGATTTGGCTATGGTATGGAATACTGGGAAGAAAATACCTACTACTAGTCATCTATTTTAATTTGAGAAAGGTTCAAGAGCAACTATGAGAAGCTGGAGCTAAACACATTCAAGTAAGCCACAACATTGCAATAGTGAGGGTTCTTGCCTACTGAAAGAAACCATCAGATGAGGAGAGGCTGAGAAAACTGGGACTGTTCAGCCTGGACAAGAGGAGGGTCAAGGTGGATCTTATACTTCTGGGCACAAGTATAAGTTGGGAGAGGAGTGGCTGAGGAGCAGCCCTGCAGAAAGGGATCTGGGGTGCTGGTCAGTGGCAGGCTCAACAGGAGCTGGCGCTGTGTCCTGGCAGCCAAGAGAGCAAACAGCATCCTGGGCTGCATCAGACACAGCACAACCAGCCCATCAAACAAGTTATTCACTGTTGGTGTGGCCTCACCTTGAGTACTGTGTGCAGTTCTGGGCCCCAACATTTAAGAAGGATGTTGAGGTCCTTGAATGCATTGAGAGGAGGGGAACAAAGCTGGCAAAAGGGCTGGAAGAAATGTCCTGTGAGGAGAGGCTGAGGACTTTGGGCTTGTCTAGTTTGGAGAAAAGGAGGCTGAGGGTCAACCTCATGGCGTTCTACAGCTTCCTGAAGAGGGGAAGGGGAGAGGGAGGTGCTGAGCTCTTCTCTCTGGTATCCAGTGATAGAATGCATGGGAATGGTTCAAAACTGCACCAGGGTAGGTCTAGACTTGACATTACACAGAATCACAGAATCATAGGGGTTGGAAGGGACTTCAGGAAATAATCTAGTCCAACACCCCTGCCAAAGCAGGTTCCCTACACCATGTTACACAGGAAAGCATCCAGGTAGGTTTTGAACATCTCCAGAAATGGAGACTCCACAACCTCTCTGGACAGCCTGTCCCAGTGCTCTGTCTCCCTCATAGTAAGGAAGGTTTTCCTTAAGTTTGTCTGGAACTTACAGTG